TAATAATAATAATAATAATAATAATAATAATAATAATAATAATATCCTGGAGAAGCTGAGTGGGGCCAAAGAAATGGAGCAGGGCCCAAGCACCCACCTAAAGGAGCACCAAGTTCTTGCTGTCAGCAACTGAACAGGAGGAGAGGTATTTCCAAATGGAGGAAAACCTGTGTGGAAGTCATAATTTGTGGCTGAGGGGCATAGCACCTCTGGAGCCCCACCGACAGGGATGCACCTTGAAGGAATGCTTCAGCTTGAAGCCCTTCTTTTTTTGGATCTGGCAAGAAAGGGATATATCCATTCCATACACATTCATTTCTAAGTCCGTTCTGCCTGTTCCTGGAACAGCATGTTGATTCTTGGTTCTAAAATCTGCACAGAAGTCTGTATCTAACGATGGATTTACAGATGTGTTTTCTGAATGCGCTCTCAGAAAAAAACACATTTCCACCTGGAACACTATCCAAAAATATGCATTAAAGAAACCAGGAAAGGTGTTCTTTCTTTCTTTCTTTCTTTCAGCCAAGAACTGCACTGCAAAATTCAAAGTGTGAAAACTGGTGGACAATTATATCCTGATTTGTAACCTTGGACACAGCCTACACCCAGATCGATAAGGATTAAATATTCCCCAAGCATCTCTGTGAAAAAACAGCCAGGACTTTTCCTCCCTTCTCACCTTGTTCAGAACGATTTATTTTAAAACAGCCTTCTCCGATACGGGCAGGGCCATTGAAAAACAATTCCGAAAGGAGTCGAGTGCTGGGATGAAAAACACGGAAAGGGGACAACGGGAAGCTGAGGGGGAAAGGGGAGAGACCAACAACCAGGAGCAGGGAACCCCGAGGCCTTAGAAGCACAGTCCCTTACTTGAGGGGAGCTGCCGGGAGAGAAAGCTTGATTGGAGACAGGAGAAGTGGGAGACTGGTTGGCCGGGGAGCCGGCATTGCTGCGGTACTGCTGCAGTGAACCCTACGGAAGGACAGAGAGTTAGAGACCACGGGGGACGACAGGAGGATTGGGGAGGGAAGCCACGGAGAAAACGAGGAGGGGGAGGAGAGCACAGCATGCGAGCAAGTACCGTTCAACAATGCCCGGAAGAATCGCGACCGTTCGAGGGACAGGCATGCTGTCCCAGGTTGCTCCTCCGGGTTTCGGGGATTTGGGGCAACTGGAACCCGTCACAGCATTGCAAAATGCTGTCTGGTTTTATATTAAGAGCTCCAGCAAGGAATTCAGTTTTCCCATTTCTTCAGCACACTCAAAACCTGGAGAAAAGCTTTGTGGGGGAAGCTCACGCGTTGCTTTTTAGCCCAGCGGGCAAACAGAAGTTTGGGGGCCAGGTGGCCCCCTCAGAAAACAACTTTCCCACTTTCGTGGAACCAAAATGTAACCATGTGGGTATGCTGCAGTGCCACACAAAATGGTTAAGTGTGTGGAAATGCAGAGAGTTTTGGCTTCCTGAGACATTTTAAAAGGAAGCATTAAGGACACCAGACTATGGTTGTTGTGAAGATAAGTTTGGACATATGTGGGCAATTGTTTGTTGAGGCCTCTACAGCCCAAGGTTGGGGGAAGGAGGACTCCTAGAGAGTTTTGGGGTAGGGAGATGCTTCAGTGCTCACATTTAAGAGAACCCATAATGGAAGCAACCACAGCAAAACAGTTCTGGAGACTGAAATTATTTATGAAATCTGGCTTCTCTTCTCCTGAGTATTCCCATCTTTAATTAAAAAAAAAACTCCAAGTGATAAAACCTGAATGCTTTTGCCAACAGCTCAAAAGGTGAAGGTGAGTTTGTGGAGGAGATGGGGAAAGGAGAGGGCAGGAAATGGCAGACTCAAAAGGAAGAATCAAAGACAGAAATGAGAGGGTGGAAAAAGAACATAAACGGCAGACTGAATCAGGAAGAGTAAGAAGAAACTGAGCCACCTCGTTTGCAGGCCTGCCATGCATTAAAGGGGTTTGGAAAGGCTGCGACCAGGAGGTATGGTCACCCATGGCCAAGTGAAGTGAGTTAGGGTGGATTACAGGTCCCTTCTCTCCTCCTCCTCTAATAAAATGGTGAGGTGGTATTTGGAGACTTTGGCTTACACTCCTTGATTAACTGCAGCTTGTCCCATTGCCTGAACTGGACTATCTTGACGAGCGGCTTGTTTGCAACTGCCTGGTCTTGCTGGAGGAGGAGCAGGAAGGAAGAGCTTGGGTCCAGGGGCAGGAGTAGGGGGCGACTAGGCCCGATCCCAGGGCAATAAGCCATACTCCAAACACAGCAATGCCTGACAGCCAAGCCCTGGCTGGGAGCTCTGCGGACTGAGAGCAGGTGATACCCTAAATAGCTACCTGGTACTCCACATGTTCCACAGCATTGCCTCTCTGTGCGTTTTGCCGGCAGCCCGAAGGCTCTGGGTCAAGGAGGTCTGGTTTAAGCTCTAGGACCTGAGATGCCCCTCTTCCTTTGCCCAATAAATAAAGGCTTCCCTCTCCGTTGCACCGTGTGTTGCAGCTGTGGAACCTGGGGCCAAGCACACGACTGGCAGGATCAGACCTCGTCACGTCCACCTGGCCATGCCCGGCCCAGATGCTCCCCTCCACCTCCTGGCCCCTGATCCCCAGTCGGGAGACGGCCTGGCAGGGCACAAGGCACACAGATGCGGCAAACTGGGCTTCCTGCGGGAAACCGGAGCACCCAGGCCCAAGGCGGGGGCGGGCGACACCCAGTCCGGTTCCCTGCACCTGCGCCGCCATCCCGGGGGATTGGTGGCCCGGTGGATCTACCAGCCACAGGCCCAGGAACTGCTTTAGATCCCGCAGGTATCAGCCACTCTGACCAGTGCCCTCCAGGTCCCCAACTCCCATTGGTCCCAGAGGCTGGCCAGGTCTGGTAGGAGTGGCCGGAAGCATCCAGGGGGCACAGGGTTGGGGAGGGCTGGGGGACAGCATTCAGGCCCCCCCCACCAGTGTTTTGCCAGGTTGCCCTGGGGGCCTTCCCCCTCCCCTCGAGCTTACCGAACTGATATCTACCCCCATGGGGGTCTGGCTCTGGCTGCCCGGAGGAGTCTGCGGGATCGCGGATGGGGCCGTGACCGAGAGCGGGGGGAGCTGGACGCCACGCTGCAAGCCGGGGCTCTGCATCAGGGGGGCGCTGGCCACTTGGTTCGGCTGCGGCTGTGGGGGGGCGCTCCCCTGGGAGAAGAACGGGTAGGGCGGGAGCTGCTGCTCCATGGAGAGGGTGTCCATCGCGACGGCCTGGCGAGGGAGGGAGGGAGAGGACAGGAGAAAGGGGTCGCTGCCCCGGCCGGGACTGGCACGCGCCCGGCGAGGGGCAAGGAAGAATGAAAGAGGGGAAGGCTCTCCCGCAGTGCCGGGCCAGGCGAGCAGAGGGGCCCCTGAGCGCAGCCCCTGCGGGGAGGACTCCTTTCTGTGCCGTGGGGGGCACAGTCTCAGCATGCCCTCAGGCAGGAGTGGGGGGCAACACCGTGCACACTTCTGGCCCCAGCGTTGCGCCGCTGCTCCGGAAGTTGGCGTCTCCACGTCGCCGGGGGGAGACCCTCTCTGCGCCTCGCAGGGAGAGCTGGCACGGCCCGTATCCTGGTGGTGCACGAAGCCGAGGGCATGGGGGGCCCGGCCCTGGGCCCAGGACCCCTGCTCCTTGCCCAGCGTCTGCCGCTTGGTGCCTGGTTCGCCCGGAAGACCCAAGTACCACACGCACCCTCGTACCTGGGCGATGGGCGACAGCGTCGGAGAGACCTGCGCGGCCTGGGTCCTCCGCGCGTCCGTGCTCAGCGAGAGCGGGTTGCCCGCCGGCGGCTGGTGCTGGTGCTGCTGCTGCTGCGAGGCTTGTGTGGTCGTCAGCCCTGCTGCCAAGAGAGGTGGTCGGCACGCGCAAGGAGATTCAAGCGGGATTCCGCCAATGTGCCTTTTCGCCGCCGTGGGCATCCCAACACGGCTGATCCAGGGAACGCTTAGGACGGGGTACCCCAAACCGTTTCCTGAGCCGGGGCAGCCACCCTCGAGGAGCAGGAACTCGACCCTGAGCTGCCCCGCACCAGGTTCTAACCCCAGTTGCCTTCCCCAATTCAGTGATGATGCCTGTGCTCTGGCACGGGTCCGAGCCCCATACTAGGACTGACCCTGGGACCCTCGGTTGCCAAAAGCAGCGTGTTCCCGCTGAGCTACGGTTCCATCTCCTCTGCGTGACTATTACTGTGGGGTGTGTTGCTGGCATGGACCCCGAATCACCAAGACACGTCCCAGTCCCAGCCCTGTGATCATAATAAACAGCGCACTGTCTTGGCTGCAGGAGGGAGAACGCTGGGCTAGCTCGCGGACGACGTTATCTGCCTGCTTATGCTGGGCTAACGGTTTGGGCTGGTGTATTCAGCTCGCTCTCATTATTTCACTCCCTGAGCCAAACCCAGAGGAGGAGGGGGGCCTGTGTTAATTCTCCTTCACTTATGGGAGTTTCCTGCTTCCAAGGAGCTCTGGGGAGCTTCTGCGGTTCCTGCCCAGCTCCACAGAGAAGCAGGAGCTGGCTGACGACCGGGGATTCCCAAAGTGGAATTCCCTATTTGCCTGCTGAAAGATGGACGAAAGGGTGTTTCCAGCAGTAGCCCGACTGGTTAGGGACCGAGGGAGCTGTCTCTGACAAGCCCTCCCCTGGGACTGCCAGCACTGGCTGGCAGCAGCTCTTCGTGTCTCGGGCTGGACACTTTCCTCGCCATCTCTGGGCACTGTCAGGGATGGTGCTCTTCTCTTGGCCGCATCTACCTCTGTTTCCCTCAGAACAGGGAGACCCCATGGAGCTCGGCCTCTCAGCCGTGGGTCAGACCCCCGAGACTCCTCCCCTTAGTTCCCGCTGGTAAGACTTAAAAGCAAGCTAGCGACCAAGGACCAAAGAGTGCAAGCGCCGGCACACAACCAGCCCCCGCCCCCACGCAGGAGGATGTCGTGCTGCCGTTCCCGGGGCTCTGCAGCCCACGGGAGTGCCGAGCCCTTACCCTGACCGGCGGTGTTGATGCCCATGTGGGTCAGGTTGGCAGCCAGGTTCCCAGTGCTATTGGAGCCAGTGAGGGCCGGGAACGGGGCCTCCTCCGGGTCTAGTGGTGTCGGGAGGGGAGAAGGGAAGTGGATGTTGGTCAGGTCTGGCAGGGAGCCGCCTGTGTTGTGAGTGGTGGGGACGAGGGCAGTAGTGTTTTCCTGGTCAGCTGAGGGATAGATGCTGTGTGGAGAAGAAGACAGAGAGAGGAAGCTGAAGATCCTGCAAAGGCAAGCAAGACCTCGCAGGCGAACACCCTCCTCACGGATAAATAATGCAAATGTTTCAAGTAACCCTCCTCTTGAAGAACTGGATCGTGCTGCAACCCCATCACAGAAGCCCGAGGATAAATCCTGATACCGGTCCAAACCATGATCTTCATTAACTGTAATCTGAACCCAGACCAGGGCTGAGTTTGCAAACAATGAAGCCAACCGTGTCCCTTGGATTTTACTTCCCATTTTCCCGGCATTCCTCTCTCTAGAAGCAGCACATCGTGAGCACAAAACAAACCCTCCAAACCGGTTTCAAATAACTGTTCCCAGTTCTGGGTTTTCTGGCCAATGGGAAAAAACAAACAGGCTGCTAACACTGTCGGGACACAGCTCTGCTTTCTTAACCCTAGTTTGGCACAGTGTCTGAATGGAGTTACAGGAAAGCTGCCTTCACTGCAGTCCATCGAGTGCAACCTGCTTTTTGATCTGGGCTGCCAGCGAAGTCCCAAGCCCATGCCCATCAAAGCAGCCATCGGAGCAATCCATCTCCAGCACGATTCCTGGGTAACGCCCAGGTGTAGTTCCGACGTGCTCCCCCCCCCCCCCAATGCTCTTGGCATTTCCTGCTGAAGAGCATCTATTTTTTAAATGCATCCTGAAAACTTCTGCTGTCGCTTTTCCCTGACGCACCAATCTCCTTAGCATGCACAGATAAACCCCGCCCAAGGACCATGTCTTTGTTTCTGAACCGGCTTGCTTCAAACAGCCCCTTCCCCATTCCTGGCACCTACTTGATTCCTGGAACTTCACAGGATTTAGGCCTTGATGATCCGGTCTGAAAGAGAAGGGAACAGAGCCGATATGATGGGCAGCACAGAGCTACGAAAGCAAAGTCGACAGAGTCAAGTGCAACCATCATCAAACCTGTAATTGCATCAACACTTAGCAGTTACGCTAAATTAAGACGTTAACGCAGCTTTAAAGCTGCAGAAAATGGGTGGAGGTTCTGGACTAGTGGCATCAGCCCACGGTCCAGAGTATGCTCCAGTCTGGCTTACAAGCCCAACCAGACAATTGCTGTGCCCACCGGGGTGGGGGCAGGACTGCGAGGAGATGGGGGCCAAGCAGCCCCCACGGGCCACGCTCCGTGATGTCACTGCCCTGACTATTGAGCCTCTTCTTGGATGAGGGCCAATGCACCAGTTACGGTCCCATTGGGACAGCGTGTGGAAAAGGCCACGTGCACCGGGAAAAGAGGCTTGTAATCGCGTTGCCCAAAACCACACCAGGAATGGAGGACAGCAGGCAGTCTCTGCACAGCTGCGCGGCCCCACTGCTCTGAGAGCGAGGAGGCAGTGCCGTGGGCTGGGCTGGGGAGCCCAGCAAGCTCGATTAGGCCCACGGGCCCTTGTGTTGCCCCCTGGTGGAGTCTTGGAGGAAGGTCCGTCCTCCCAGCCGCCGCTCTGCACTGCCGCGGTGTGGGGAGTACCTTTTTGGAGTCCCATTCTTGCTCCGAGAGGTTCTTGTCTCTGTCTGAGGCCTCCTCTTCCATGCCGGGCACAGTTAGCAATAAGACTATGAGAACAGGAGAGAGAAACACTGCTTTCGTTTTACCACCCACACAGATTCACCAACCAGTGGATGTCACTCTCCCTCATTCTAAAGCTTCGTATAATGTTCATATCAACCTTTCGACTGAAGGGCCTTAGGCTGGCATTCTGCCCACACGAGCAAAAGCCAAGAGCAGCGAGGTGATGCAAACAGGCTCCTGGCACAAACACTGTAAGTGTGCGGAGGGCTTCCACTCACGCTCACACATGTGCGAGTGGAAGCACGCGTCAGTTCTTGGGCTTGGGATACGGGGGAAGAGCTTGCGGGCCTGCCCAGGTTTCCTCATATTTAGCAGTCATACAGTGTGCATCGATATACACTTATTTTTAGATTTCTGGAACCGAATATGGCTTCCAGCGTCTTTAGTTCATCAAATTCTAGGGTGGACCGTCTCTTTCAAAAGCACCATGCAACAACCCAACAAAAATTTATCCCAACTGTTTTTTCGTACAGTGAAGTTTCATCACCTCGACAGAAAGACTGCTCCCGCGCCCAAGTTACCAGGCAGCCTAACAGCCCCCCCGTCTCACAATTCTAGGCAGTGCTTTCATTTTCATTCTCTAAGGTATTACCTCTTTTTTGCTGCATGTCCTGTGTCCCGGCAGAGAAAGTCTCTGCCTGAGCAGGAGTCATTGTGCTCTGGTGCAAGGCAGAATCAGAGTTGGTCCTGACAAGAAAGGGGAGAAAACCATTACAGCTCCAACTTCCCAGTGGAAAAGGCATACCGCATTCTCCGTATGTCTCGCATGTGCCCTTAATCGGAAGGGAAACTCGATCTTTTGGGCCTTTTAACTTATTTTCTCCATTTTGCATTGCTTCCTGGACAGGGTAACCCATGCTCTGAGAACTGAGAACAGTTCAGACTTGCTAGCCCTGAAGACTGCGAAAGAATCGGTGCTGAAGGGAACCCGGGAGATCCTTGCCTTCCTGTTCAGTCAAGTCTTTATGGAACAGGATAGGCGGCCCCAAGATTCCCAGCCAAGATTCCATCCCTCCTGAGGCAGGTCATACAGCTGTCAAACAGAGGATGGAATGGACTTGTTCTCTGCGGCCCCGAGGAGCAGCAAGAGCAAAGAAATCCACCCAAGAACGCAGGGGCAACGCAGAGGCGTCTGTGCGCCAGAACGTCACAGTTCACGTTTGCAAACCCAAATACGGGGGAGGGGGGGCACGTTTTGCAAGAATTCATGTTCGTGCTTCCATACAGACCTTCTCCAGTTGGTATCTGCAGGAGGGGACAGATAGACGGTGCCGTAGGGACAGCTGTCCACGTGAGACAAGTAGTCAAGGAAGGAGGAAAGCGAGCCCAAGTTCTCAGAGCGGCAGCAGCTGCAGGTGCTCCGTCTGAGGAAGATGGGAGAGGTGCCCATATTCTGATGTGCCCTGGGGCTTAGGAAGGAGAGCGAGACCGGCTGTTCTGAACAGTGGACCTCAAGGTGTTGTTGGTCTGGCTAATCAAAGACAGGCATTGTAGCCCAGCACTAACTTGGGGCTTCCACTCACCCTAAGTACTGAACAGGCTAAGTGGGAATGAGAGGAAGTGGAGGCGAACAGCCGGGTCCAGATCACCATGCCCTAGGCTGCTGTCCTCCAGGTGCAGCTCTGAGCCAGCAGGATGAAACTGCAACATGCAGTCAAGAACGAATCAGGCCAGGGTGGTCCCTGAACCCCCACAAGCCTGGCAAAGAGGAAGTAAATCCCAGAATGAAGAAAAATAACGTTTTCTTCTTCAGGGTGGAACTTATGAGGAAAACAGCATTTTCCTACATCCTGAGACGTGTTCTCCATCAAGTGCTTCTGGCTGCAGCCAACCCCTGGGTTTAGTATGGATGGATTGGGAATCTCAGGGTCAGGAGAAACAGGTGGATGCAGGGACCCAAATTCTATCTGGGTCTGTAAAGCCCACCCTCGAAGGGGCAACGTATTCTTTGTGTGTGGATCCAGCTGCTCTCAAGCCAGCAAGAATACCACCCCTGCAGGTCATTCCAGGCAAGCCAGTGTGTGTCCTGCGTGATACCAAGAAAAGGATATCTGTCTGCCGTGCTTGTCCACAGAGAGCAGGCGCCGGTGTGGTGAGCTGAGGCGATTCCGGTCACGGTACACCCTGTCCACAAGCCCGTGGTGCCGGGTGGTCCTACTGGTGTCTAAGCCTGAAGACTGAAATGGTGTCTACAGAAAACGCAAGAAAAGAGGGCATTCCGAATCTGAGGTTCAAACTGCTGCGGCTCCTCAGGAAGAAGGCAAAATACAAGAGCAGAAAGCACAGCAAGCTTGGGCTCCGCTCTAGGAGATGGCAATGGAGAACCTGCCTTTGGGTTCATAAAGGTCGTTTCCCCTTGACGTGAAGTCCAGGCATGCCTGACTCCAGGGGCCGGTGCTCACCTCCGTTTCCTGGCCGAGGGAGCTGGCGTTTGTCCGCAGACGGTCTCCGTGGTCGCGTGGCCGGCAGGACTAAACACCAGAGCGTTGGGTTCATACTCGCTTGTTAATTCAGCCACCTCCAACCCAGTGCCCTCCCTGTGCCAACCTGCAAGTCCCCATGTTGATGATGGGAACTGTAGTCTACCACAGCCGGCAGCACCAAGCTGGAGGGGGCTGCCTTGGTTCAGACACATGGGTTAGGCAGCTTCTGGGGCACAAGCTGAATTTGGGACTCCTGGCAGCAAGGGCGCTAGCAAGTCACGCAGCCAGGCTCACCTGGAAGGGCAGGTCCATCGTGCCACAGCCGATCTGGTTGACGTTTGGCAGAGATCCTCCGTAATACGGGCCGCGGCTCTGCCCGAGCTGTAAATACTGGTTCTTCTGCAGCTGGAGCTGGAAAACCATGACGGAAAGGGAGAAAGAGGAAATGAACTGCACAGGTCCCACAAGGAAGGGAGAAAGGGTTACAGTGATGTTTACTTATGCAGAGGGGTTGAAACCTGCCTCTGAGGGAGCGCTGCTCCCACAAGGCAACTTACAATATTACAGAAATACAAATGTACCAGTTATCATCACACACTCACACACTCAAGGGTAGCAAGAGCCGATTAAGTCAAGGCACCAAACACAGCCTGAAATAAATGCGTGTGTGTGTGTGCGCGCAAATGCATTTTAAAGCCAGCAGTGAAGAGGCCGTAGGCACTGCCCTGAGAAAGGTGTGGGGCCACCACTGCGAAGCCCGTACCCCTAGCACGTCCCAGGCTCGTAGTTCCTACTTGAGGAGCAGTGAAATGAAACTTTGAAATGAACTAGACTTTGACAGCCATTGCAACACTGCAATCAGACTGCCCGACTGGGGCTTGGGAGATCTCGGTTCTAGTCCTGCTCAGCCGTGGGTGACTTTGGGCCAGTCCCCGATGACAGTAGCGTGGGGATAAAATGAAGCGGACAATTCTCGTATATAAGATACCATGAGTTCCGCGCAGGGAAAAAAGGTAGGATATAAATATAATAAATAATGCATGAAATGAATGAATAGAAGTCAATGCTTGGACAGGTCCAGCAGTCTTTCAGATAATATGGTTTCAAGTAATTTCAGGAGCAAAAGGCCAAAACCAGCACTGTGAATTAGGCCCAGGGCCTAACCGGTGGGGTGATGTAAATGTTACGGAGCAACATGCTCAGGACACCCCCAGACGGAGACGCTCTTCATAAATCAAGAGGATGTTAACACACTATCTGGAACTGGGGCAACTCAAATGACCCATGGGTTCGGGTCACTCTTTTTTGAGGAAAGATCTGGAATGGATTACCTTAGAAAAAGGGGCATGTGCTAGAGTCACACATCAGACTCCTTTCCATTCATTAAAATAAACAGGCTAAGTAGAGTTTCAAGAATTAATGGATGGTTTCCTGATCAATGTTATAACCTGGAGAAATGGTGTGAATTATGCAACCAGCATGACACAGACATAATTGCTGAAGCGGTTAGCAGGTTGGTTATCGGTTGTCTCACTTATCTAAGTGTCTGCCCTAAGGGAGCAGCTGTCATCCACATGGAACTGAGAAAGGATCCTACTGAGAAAGGATCTCTCAGAGGTTAAACAACTCTTAACCTAAGGCACCTAAGGCATTCTGAAAAGGTGGTTTATATGTCCTTAAAAAGCCCCAGCTTGTTCCTGGTTTGTGTTGATTCTAGACTGAGAACTCTACAGGGCAAGGACCTGTCATTTTGTGCTCTGTAACCCAAAATGACAGGGCACATTGACAAAAGAGAGAGATTGGATAACCTTGAAAGAAATCCAATTCTTTTGCAATTTTGTTCCTTTGGACTGTGAGTTGTGGGTCAGGACAGTAACCCCCACCAACAATAGGGGTGTGATAAGATTTGTCTACTTTACAAAGTTCTGGGAAGACTATGGTTGAGCACGCATTTAGTCTTCTGAATGTCAGACTGCCTCCTATTTCTTTGCTATAGGAATCAGCTAGAGAGAAAGAGAACTGCATTTCTCTGCTAGGTCTATATTCTGCCATTTTCAATGGAAGAACTCAAGGTTTTGGTTGGACCTGGTTTGACCGGATATTGATTACTTATTTATATGACGAGCCTGAAATAACCCTCTGTAGGGAAACCAAAAACCCTATTGCTGGTGGGACTGATGGAGGCCGAGAGACTTGTTTGCCCTAGACCATTGACTGAATCTTCAGCATTGTCAGGACTCAAACTGAAGATTGTTGGGGGTCGAGGCTCAGTCTTTCAGTGCATAATCCAAACCTCTCTGCTTCAGATGCAAGCAAGCCTTCAAGCTTGGAGACTTCGGTCCATCCAACGCAAGGAGTAAGGCACAGTGTGGTCCTGCCTCCACCCCTCTACACAGGGCCTCAGAGGCAGCAAGAACTCAGAGCCTGCACTGCATCCAGCGCACTGGGAAGATGCAGGATGCGACCCTTGGCCAATGTGCTATGCTCAGCCAAAGGCATGTAGTCTGTCCTTTTAGCATAACACCCATCCTCCACATTAAGAATACAACAGAAATAAACACGCAGAACAAAGAAAGCAGAGAGAAGCCCACTACTGCAGCGTAAGATCAAAATAGCTTTTCTGTTCCCATTCTTATTTTTAGCTGCAGAATGAATATGCGATTATGTAACTGGGATGGTTCTGATGCATCAGAAAGCAAACAGGGAATGTTTACATTCTTCGGAGCAGAGTGACTGGGCAGCGTGTCCCCAGGTAGAGTGTGGGGGGAGGACGACACACCCACTATCATTCCGCTACTGATTGGCGGGTGGGGGCTGTAAAGCAAACACGATGATTCAGCCTCTGGGGAGTCCTCCAGACAGTCCTATGCGGAGCCAAAAAGCAGCTGCCGAAGTGTGTGTGTGTCAAGGGGGGGTGTCCTCTCTCTCGACGAAAGCGTGTTCTCCTCCTATCCCAACGCTGGTTTTTCCATATGGAAGGAACCTTCTATGTTGGATCGCCAGCTCACTCTGTCCAAGAGCGCTACTCTGAGTTCCCGTAGCGATTCTAGGAGAGGGGGACCCATCTGCTGGAAACCTCCTGCTCAAAGGGGGTGAACTACAGCGATAGGTTCTCTGCAAAACATGGGAACTGGCATTATGCAGAGTCTGCCAAGCTCAGCAATGCCCACTGTGAGTGGAACCTGGTGTAAACGCTGTGGAGAGATCCTTTTAAGCAGAGCTATCAGGGACAGACTTTCTGCAGAGAAAGCATCTACTCTCACGGCAACAGGCCGCAGACTGATTTGATCCCAACATACTTAGAGAACCCTGGGCAGGTCTGAAGAGGGTGCTGCACCTCTCCATCGCGAATCAAGCCAAGAGTTTTGGAGTCGTGCAAAGCCAACAACAAGGAGAACCCTATGAGTAATGTGTTGTTAATACAGCACCTTTGGTATGTTCAAAATGCTTGCTGAACATACCAAAAGTTACTATTAACCATGACTCTGAGTAATCCTTGCAGCCACTCTGGACAGCGGGCAAAATTATTACCCCCAGTGATGGAAAGAGAGAAAAAAGCTGCTTGTCTTACACGCTCCTATTCAGTTCTCAGCTGAGCTGAAGTTGTAGTCGGAGCCCTTCTTGAATCACACGCGTCCACTGCAGAATCGTGGTCGGCCGGGGCACTAAACGTGTGTGCAGGAGAGACTCTGCAACCGCAAACCATTCACTTCTGTGGACTGAACTATCTAAACAGTGCTGTGAATAAATTTACATCCTGTTCTTCAGATAAGGTTTTTTTATGGAGTCCGTTCAAATTGAACCATAAAAATACAGCAGGTGAGAATGCTGCTGTTCTTTTCTGTCAGGCACAACAATACAGACCTAACTACCAAGAGGATAACCCCAAAAAGGATTCCCTGCACCTCCAGCTAAAGAGTAGCAAGCGGGTTATGGCGTAAGGTTTGCCTGTCACCTGCAGCAAGGAAGGAAACATCGTGAGCCAGGCTGCCCCCAGTTCGGGAGGTCTCGTGTGCTGTTACGTGGGAGCCCCTCGTACAGTGCAAGATGCAGAAAAGAAGGGCAGCCACCAAAAATACAAGAACAGGCCAGGGAATATACATAAAGCGGCAGAGCACGAACACAGAAAGCAGAACAGGAATACCAGCTTCAGGGCCTTCATGACAGAAACTTTGAAATCCTCCACTCGGCCCTTCCGTGGAATTGAAGTATTCTCAGCCTAGGGAATTGTGCAGAGTAACCAGAAGCTTACAACCCTTCTACAGGAAACCCCGATACAGGTTTCTACCCCAAATTTTCTTTATTTCCACAAGGAAATTAAGGGGTGGGGGGTACCCTGTAGATAGTGAGAAATCCTTCTGCTCAACTCTGGACTGGAGGAATGAAGGAAGAGAGCAGATGGAGAGAAGGCCATCCGCCGAGAAGCAGCTGAAGTGGAAGCGCTGCTAATGTTTGCACGTGGATCTGGAACAGCTGGGGAACTCTTCAGATTAACATCTCGTTAGGCAGGTGCACAATCAATCGTGCCTGTGTGGAGTACTGCTGGTGGAAGCACAAGGGCTCTTGTCTGGAACGAGTATTTAAGCCAGAATAAACTGAGCAGAAAGTGGGTCGGTGGGACATGTGCAGCCACTGTTCCCATTAAGCAATCCACAAAAGCAGTTTGGGAGTTCTGGCCCCTAGGCAGCTGCGGCTGAAGCTGCCCAGAGAGCAGTGGCACGCACCTCTTTCCCATCAGCTGATCTATCCACAGATCCTTCAGTCAGCGCTCTCTGCAGGGAGGAAGCTGGAATCTGCAAACTTCAGGGGACAAAAGAGACCGCTTCCCCTGCCTGCCTGCCCCAGCCACCCCACACAGACTTGTTCAGCAGTGTACGAATATGAATAAATACAATCCATCGTCCAACTTCAGGTACCGGTAGTTTACAATTGGCACCAAAAGGGACAGACAAGACAGACAGACAGACAGAAGCGATTCCTGCTGAAAGACATGCATTCACATAGACGATTCAGTTAACCAACGTGAGAACCCCATTAGTTTTTTTTTTAAAGATCTTGTTTGCTTTGCAATGTTCCGCCTGGTCAAGAACAAGTGAGCAACGTGCTTTAAAACAAAAACGCTCTATATCCTTGCAGTTAATTAATGTTTATGTCTGTCTGGTAAAAATATACACAGTTTCAGCTAAGTGGCATGCAGACTTATCAAGACTGTCCTTCAGTTCAGTGGATTTGCCAAAGGGGGAGTCTATTCCCAGCACTTGAGCTCTGATCCAGGTGGCCCGAGATCAAAGGAAGGGAAGGATGGGACTTGCAGTCCATATGTCTGGCGGCCACCCGGTTGAGGAAGCTTGTTGCTCAGTGTTCAAATTGCAGCTAGGCCAAATATTTACTTAAACCGGTTAGGACATTGG